GCCTCGCTGCTGGGACCCCAGCGAGTGTTTCTAAATGAGGGACGGGAGACACGGGGGGGGACCATCTATCGCCGCTTTAAAAGGAGGCAAATTGGACTCGTTAGAGACGTTGTTGACGTCTCACTGCTGAGTGTGTTGCTCGGGGATTACAGGTCTCGTCTATTGCAAATTAGAAATGCACAGTTGCGTTTGTGACCTGGACCTTACGTTTGGATTGATCCTGGAGGATGAATGGTGCAGCCCATTTTGTAACCGCCTCCTGTATCCCCACTGCAATGGTTGGTTTGGCCAAGTTCCTCTTACTAAATAACAGTCGCAAGTCCCTACACCTTCTCTCACACACACAAAGAAAACATTCAACACGTCCCTGATGTTCTTGTGGTTGGAGGCGACTAAGTCACGCAATCTGTTCGCTGCGGTTGTCAGGCTGGGACTCTGACACACAACGGTGAGTCCAAACACGCGCGTACGCACAACAAATCATGATATACTAATCCCGCAGCTCTGGCGCGCACATACACACACACGCGCAGACACAAAAACAACGAGACACGTGTATGGCTGAGCCGCAGCACTCACACGGATCCGCGTGGAACCGCCCACCACACGGCGGTGTTTATTGACCTCGCTAGAACAAAAGTGGCCACCATTGATCCAATGCAATAAAGGTTTTCTGGGCCATTGTCTACATGTGCGTGTATGGATTCTATGCGGGTCTCGGGGGAGCGGGGGGGGAAAGGTGAGGACTTTCTCTACAAAGCGACAACGCACCTGGGGACACAACTAAACAGCTACCACGGCAAATTCCTGTGTGCGTGTGTGTTGCCACAGGTCCTTTGTTTGAGGTAGTCACATGACCAGTGTGAGCGGTCCCCTCCCCTCTGCTGCGCGCCTCCATACAATAGAATGTATGAGACAATAACAACAACAACAACCAGTCGATCACAATCAAGTGATCGGCGCTCGGAAACTTTGTCCTTGAAAGAAGCAGAAAAAACTCCACGCACACATCCACCCTAATCAGCCACATGAGAGCAGTGATAGTACAGGGGGGGGGGGGGGGGGGGACGCAGGATGAGTCCAAGGAAAGATGAAGGGACGGCAGCTGAACAGGTGGGGGTGGAGGCCTGGGGGGAAGGGGGGGGGGGGGGGGGGGGGGGAATCGATAGCCCCGAAGATGTTTCTGATGAACAAAACAACAACACTGGAACGAGGGACGTTGTTAATAATAATAATATACCAACATGTTTGGCCACTGTCGTCTCTGAAGGCGGATGGAGGAGAAAATTAGGAGGCATAGGTAGAAAAAAAATAAAGGCAAACAATTGATTGGTGGCATGGGGAGGGGTGCACACATGGAGGAGAAAGGTGTGGGGGGGACGTGTGAGGAGGAGAGGCAGAGGGAGGCGCGATAGGTCCCACGGGTGAGATTTCCTGCTCCTCTCCGGTCGGGTAGCCTCACAGACGACTCCGTGGATCTACGTGCCTCTCCTATGTGCATGTTAATTACCAGGGGGGGGGGGGCGGCAAGAAGTGTCTGTCAAGGAGAAAGGCACAAAGGAAGCTCAGGTGTTTCCCTCACAGCAGCACAGATACACATGTCATCTATCTTTGTGGTCTCAGCCCAAAAAACAATCATTATAGATGTGCGGTTTGGTTTATTTATTTATTGTTGGTCATGTTCTGTAAATGGATACTACCGGTTTCCAGTCAGCGTCAGTTAAAATGATGAGTAGATTGTGAATTTGTCGGGTCCTGCCTCCAGCCGCGGATACGTCAGCGTCTGGTGCTCCGGGGTTACCAGCAGCACGGCGGAGTTAAATTAAATATTAACTAGTGTGTTTCTCTCTTTTTTTGGACAACAACCTAGCTTTTAGGGCACGAGTCCTTCTGACTGGTTTGTTTGTCGTCAATGAAACAATAAAGTTGCTGCCCGACATCATCTAATAAATGCTAGAGCTGAACCCGGCACAGACACACGTACTGTATGCCGCCATAAGTGGCACAGGCAATAGGAAGAGGGCATTTAACTTAACTTTTGCTTGACCTTACCAAGACCGTCGACAGCACAAGCCGGATAATGGGCTTTTCTTTACGCCCTTGTTTCTCCCCTGAAACTTCCCCCACCTCCGGCCAACAGGCAGTCAGGATCCTCCAAATGAGTTTAGCCTTTATTAGTGTGTCATAAAAAGGAGAGAAGCTTTTTTTAAAACATTGTTTCCCCTAGTAGCAGGTGGAGATATTATTCATCTCTAATTGGTAATAACCTCGTACCCCCACCCTGAGGCGGATCACTCTCCGCCGAGTAATCACTGCCACCGCTCGCTCCGCTGGAAACGGCATTATTAGGTCGGTGGCAGTGTCCCTGCCGCCTGCCAAGGTCTATTACTTGTAATATACGCCTTCGCTCCTGCCCCAACTATTGTTAAATAACTCAGAGAGACTGCGGAATGAGCTGCGGGAAGAGGGGGGGAGGGGGTGGGGGGGGGACTTCTCCAGGCAAAGATCCAGACTAGACTGGAAGTCTATGACAGAGATGCCAGTATGACTGAAGGCTTCCATCCATGATGGGTATCGGATGAAGAATCAATGGAAGTTCAGTTTTGGCATCGCTATCACATTGAGGGGGGGGGTGGGGGGGGGGTATCGGCCTGTTGTGATGGTACACCGGCTTAGAGGTTCAGAATTCAGAAATGGGTTCATTAAATAAGGAATTAATGGATTCAGTTTCTGTTAAAATATCAGAAGATTGAAAAGTGGTCATTGTACTTTCACAGAACCAATAGTGACTTGTTAATTATTCTTTTGACTCAGTAAATATATTTCCCACAGCGGAAAAAACAAAATTTAAAAAAAATGGAATCTTTTAATGGAACCAAATACACAAAAGCAAAATCTCACAACAGAGAATGTTGCACTTCATTGTGTTTGTCGATCTGCTCATCAAGTCATTGTCTGAGCTCTAGTGTCAGATTACGGAGCTCAAATGCAGTTCTTTGCCAACAACTGTGAGCGCTTCACCTCAGGATAAACAAATGTTTTTCATCGGCCATTTATGCACCACTTTCTATTGTCGGAGTATCACTTACAAACAAACAGATCTGTCATTTCCCCCCCCTGTATTTTCTTAGTCACAATCCTTCGTAGCAGGAAGCATTACGGTGTTCGGGAAGCAACAATAACAGAGGGAGAAAGTGACCTTGCTGCTACTCAAAGCAGACTGATATTTCATCAGTTCGCGCTCACAGCTATACACAGGTTCCCACATCTGCCGTGCTTCACTCCCGCGAGGTAGCGTGTGGGGAGGGAGGGGGAGAAGCAGGGAGTAAAAGGGCGGATTGAAAGGAAAACAAAAAGTCTCGGGTGGGCTTTGCTGAAGAGCGTAGGTTGACTTTGAACAGAGAGCAGGGACGTCCCTGGGCTCTCCCTCTCCTCACAGCAAGAAACACCAGAAGCAATACAAGTGAATTATACAAGGCTTCGTAGGGAAGTGGCATCATGTGCACAGGAGGATGTCAGGCGATCGCAGAGGAAGTGAAATCGTAGCGGGGAATACTCGGCACGCTGATCCATTCAGTATTTTAGACTGAGTCGTCCACTTCGCCAAGCCGAGGTTACACTGACATGGAGACACTAACTGGGGCGGTTATTCAGACTCGCTTGTGAGCAAACCCGTCCATGTGTGCGTTTAAGATGATTTTAACTACATGAGATCACAGATTGACGCACTTTGTTGACAACAGCGGCGGTGATGTCAACAAAGTGGGATGAGAATCAAAAATAAATCCCCAGAGTGCTTATTATTCACCCTCTGGGGAACGTGAACGTCAGATCCAGCTTTAAGAAGCGACCCATTGATGTGCTGAACCAAATGGGTGGAGATTGACAGAAATAAAGGATAGCATGTTAACAACATGGGTACTAGAAGTGTCTTTATGAGACCAGACCTCCAAAAAAGGAAAACCACATATTGTTGGATGGCTTCGGCCTCTGCCATCCTGTTATCGGTTTCTAAAGCCACATCCCCTGTCCTCTGTGTCCTCTGTGTCCTCTCCAGTCCAGCGCTGAAATGCACAACCAGATTCTATAGGATCCAACTTTGATCGGCCGCTGTGCAGCGCTGCAGCAATTCGAAGCAGCCCCTCCCCTAACGCTCCTTTGCCTCGTGCCATCAAACGGCCGGCACAAAGGAAAAGAGGCGACCTTAACCGTACAGGGGGGGGTGTTAGCGAGGCACAACCAGGACGGCCCACTGTCCCAGAAAAGCTTTCATCTGTATGCAGCTGCCTTGGAGAAGAACACAAGAGAGGAGAGCAGCACAAATGTACAGATAGTGGAGGCAACAAAGCACGCAGCCAATCAAGTGACCCGAGAGAAACAAAGGGCTATCTGTAAAAGCCCCTTACTTCATCCCACCCTGTGATGAGAGAACTTCGATCCCCAGGCAGGCCGGCTGCAAAACAGCCACAAAAGCCCTGACGCGGCCCTTAAGCTCGCACTTCGATCCGGCTCGTTGGGCTCCGCGCCGCTGATCAATTAGCGAGCAGCCGAACCAGCTGCTGACCACACCAACAGTCGCTTTTTAAGCACAGATGGGGATTTTCTTTATAATCACGAGGGTAAGGCCCGTTATCCCTTGGGCCTGTTATATCTAATCTGAAGTCTTTTTTCCCTTCGCTGGTCAAAGCCCCCCCTCCACTGTGCCATGTCACAATCTCACAGAAGCCAAAACAGCCAAATGTCGTCACGCCGGCTTATCAGGCCCATTTGTGCAAGATGAGTCTGAGCATGTAGGATGGAGTAAACATATGGATGGATGTTCTTTTCTCCGTGACGCGGGGGGGGCAGGCAGAGCTGACCGACAGACACGTGAGCGGGGCAAGTAAAGACACGTTGGGACAAGCGCATCTGGGCAACTCTCCAGTAAAAAAACAAGACAACATAACGATCAAACACGGGCATCGACCCCAATAGGGGCCGAGTAAATATGTGCGACTCACCCAGCCTCCCTGGTTCTGGATCCAGGGCTGAATGTGGTTGTCCAGGTAGAGCGTCATCCACTCGACGATCCTGCCCACCAGCGGACTCATCTCCTTGTCCACGCACTCCACGCACAGCGCCCCGCCGAAGGCGAACAGCCCCACGATGCGGCCCCAGTTGACGCCGTCCCGGAACACCTCGTCCATCACGTCCTCGAAGCTCTGGTAGGCCGTGGCCGGCGTGATGTGCAGCTGGTTGTGCAGATCGCTGAAGGCCCGAGCGTATCGCAGCTCGAACTCGTTGGCCGAGTCCCGCAGGGCCTCCTTCACCGCATCCAGGCTCGCCGTCGACGGCGACCGTTGCTGGAGCAGCGGGGACGCCGGCGGGGTCCCGGGACTCGTGCCGTTGAAAGTCCCGTTGGAGTGCGTCGCTCCCCGCTGCCCACCAGCCGCCCCTGCCTCTACCCCCCCGCCAGTCCTGTTGGGAGGCTCGGACAGCCCTATGTGGTTGAGGGGTAAGTTCCTCTGGGAGAGTTTATAGTTTATGTAGAAAACCACCAGTTCTCTGTTTTGAGACATGTTTTGCGCTCCAACGATGCTTTCCCCGTCTCTCCGCTCCGTCTCTGCTGCTCTCTCACGCTGTGCCGGGATTCTTTTTTCCCCCCTGTTCAGACCACCATGGTCAGCTGATATCGAGAGGACACTTGGGGGTTGAAAACCAAATCCTACTCAAGGCTGACGAATCAGCTCAAGCCCTGTGAAGAGACAACAATGAAAGGTTAAAGTCTGGATACCTTATAAAGCACACTGTCCAGTGTGTGGAAATACTGGAGACTTTCAAATTGACTTTGGACAGGTAGGTCAAAGTGCACCGCTCTAATTGGGCTTTTTCATGTGGAACAGATGGCACGGATATTAATGAGACAATCAGAGAGAGAGGTGAGGCGAGGTCAGAGGGTGACTTCGGCTTGAGGGGTCCACGCAGACAGTCGCCATCTCCCAGTCAGTGACCTCTGACCTTCGGACGGAGCATTCGGGGCCCCTTGTTTGTCTCAGCGCCAGGCTTTCTGGTCCCGACACGCAGCGCACACGTGCCCTTGAATCTCGATACATAAAACATTCGTTCCTGTTCTAAGCAGCACCTTACATTGTTGCTTAAGTTCTGGGTTTAACACTGGTTTATTTAGTATGAAATCACAGGCTGCTATCATCTTACAGTGTACATGTAGACTGCTAGTGCGATTCCTCTGAACTAATGACCAAAACAAAAAGTACCCAAAGATAAACTACTTTGCTGACAGACCTTGTGAGCCTGATGCGGTGAACTCTCAATAAACTCAAAGTTGGCTGATTCTAGAAATAAAGAGGAATTGTGTGTGTGTGTGTTTTGGGTTGACGCATGAAGCTACAATGAAGCCTTGTGTTTAGCGTGTACAGAGATTAAACCTTGATGGCTCTGGTGGGAAAGGTTCAAATGCAGGTTGAGCAGATGGGAAAAACAGTGTACTTTAAATAATGGGGAATATATTTACCCCAACATTGATCACCTAAATGCAAAAATTGAAAATGCCATCGGTAACTTGCTTTGTTCTGATAAAATAGACAATACCGTTTTAATTGAATAATAGTTATTCGAGACCCAGATAGACATGTTGGAAATGAAAATACAATTCAAAATAATAATTGACCTACCAACTACTATTTGATGCAGTTTGTGTCCATCAACAAGGACTCACGTCTGCCGTTCTACACTGTGGAATAAATTCTGGTGGCGGATCCAGTGATGGAGCAGAAATGTTACATGTCTCAGTGATCTTAATAAAGGATTTTCTTAAATGTCACAGTGTCTATTATTTACTGTTGTAAAGTAGAGTAGCATCCCCGAAACAAAAGACAATATGACAGGACCAGAGTCTGACAAAGCCTCTCCCTCGTGTCCCACTGCAGGTGCATACCTGCGCTAAAAAAACACGTGGGGAGATGACCTGCTGGTGATCCCCAAGGGAGGATTGGACATGGCCTTTCCCAGAACAACATAGACATCTACGTTGATGATGGACCCTGATCATAAGGGAAGGGGCGCGCGCAAACAGTGCTGGTGGCATTCCATGACGCATATGGCACAAAGGACGCGCGGGCCAAACGAGCAGAAAGCAGCGGATCCACACAACGAGCCGCGGACACAGACGCGGAGGAGGGTCTCGGCTCCTGGTTCTTCGTTTTAAGAAACAAACAAATAGGAAGTAAGTGCGCAGTCTGTCCCGCCAGATAAAAGGCAGCAGTGTTTACAATGGCCACATGGTCCCGAGCTACCGACACGTGGCTCGGGGGGTCCAACAGCCCAAGAGGGGGTGTAAACAGCTCAGCGACGTGTCGCACCTGCACGCAACACTCGGGAGGTCAAACGCTCAAACATTAACTCCTGTTAGGGCCGCGTTTGTGTTTATGGCGGTGGAATCTGGACTCTCCACTTACGGAGGATCCGAGCGGGACATGTGAGCAGCGATGCGCCGCCTCTGTAGGGCTGCATGTCCCGTGTGTGTGTGTGTGTGTGTGTGCGTGTGTGAGCCCATCTGGGTCCAAATGTTAGTTAACCCCCACATTACACATGACATGCACATTCGCCGTTTCGATCGCTGACGTGAAGATTTTATAAAACATAATAAATAAATATGAAGAACATGTTCGTCTTACCAGCAGTACCGAATCAAATGGGGTTATCCTGCTCAGATCGTGCCCCCCCTCCTCCTCCTGGCTCCTTTTCTAAAATTGTTCCGAATCAGTCTGTGCGAAAGCTGTCAAAATCCGAGAATGTAACATAGTCACTTGGTGTGCGTGTTTGCACGTATCCTCGTACCTCTGGAGCGCCCCCCGTTCTCCGCACGCCCATTATTACGTAACACGACGCCTTCAGAGCTCACTGGGTGTTTGGAGTCGTCGTCATCCCCACCGAATGATCGGTTCCGCTGGCTTTTTAGACCCCGGGAATATAATTAGGATAGAACTCCATCTAGTGATATAACCCGACACCACGTGGGCTATAATGTTCCCTGTCGTGAGAGAACCATTACACAGAGGTCAATAACGACCACAACGACTTTCATGAGCACGAGTGGTGCGGGATGTGTGTCACTCTTTGTTCGGGAGGTTTTTATTTATTATTTACGTAAATACTAATGAAATTATATATTCTAGTCGTCTGCTCTCTGTAGTTCACCTACGTTGTCCCTTACTGCTTCATTCAACAAAAAGGATTTACAAGAATAGACTTCGGAAATTGAATATCCTAAACGGGAGAACTGGTTTAGTGAATGCCCCTGAAGGCGGCACCACGGTCCCCTGAAGGCAGCACAGGCCATTCCCACTGGGGTGAGACGTTCGACCACAACGCGAAAAAATGCCTCTTACGACACTCACTCTCTGTTCCGGTTCTAAAGAGACATCCTCACACCAGACATAATTACAACACACACACACACACACACATATAATGAAGCTCACACAGCTACTGAAGAACATGGCTGTAGCTGCCACAGGGTGCACACATTCAATGACCGTAAATATGTACTGGCTAAAGCACACACTGCAGATTGCGAGTATAACATAGTTCGATTGGACGGTGGAAATCTAGCAGGAGACACTGATGGATTTGCATTCTTCCAAATTGTGTCGACCTCCTTCCTTTACGTAAGCCGGATTGGGAGAGGGGGGGGTGCACCCACTCTGCAGTCGCGGTCTCACAATTTCGCCAAACACAACGACCACAGTCATTAGAACTACGTTCGCAGCATCTCTTACTTGTAGGGTGGTCTCCATAAAATCATTTCGGGTGGCTCTCGATTCTGACCCCGGCAGGAGAAACCCAATCCGGCATCGTTAGCCCGTCTGGCTAAAGCGCCGACGGAGGTCTGCTAGCCAGCTACCGGCCGCCACGGATCCGCCCACAGTTACGCCGTCACGTCACCGCTCCTCCTTTCACTCCCGGTACCGTCAGGGAAACGGCAGCTTTATCCGGTGTGGATAACGCTACGAATATCTAAAGGAAGGAAATGTGCTCCTCCCTTCCGGGGAGATGGCTTTTCACGAGTCTCCACACGAGAGCTGGCTGGTCCGGTAGCTAGCAGGCGCCGGCTAGCTAGCGTTAGCACTAACCGATAGTTTGCGTGGCTCCGGACCTCTGCTACGTGTGTTATGTCGATAGTTGAGTAAAACTCACACACTCCATCTTGTTTCGATATGTGGTTACTTCTCTAAGGATTCGTAGACTGGCGTTTTCCATTAAAAGGGGGCTACACGTAGCAGCTGCTGGGCAGTTTTGCGCTTTACTTGCTAAAACAAAGGATGTAAAAGGTCTCCATGGTAACCTTTGTTACCCCACAATGTCGCGCGCTTCAGGCCAACTGCCAGTTTGAAAACGGCGCCACCTTGTGGACTTCCAAGGAAATGCAACCAAGAACCAAACAAAGGCCGTGTATTCAGATACAAATAAAAAGATCCAAGAAATACAAATAATTGATGCCGTGTGAGTAAATGTAGTCACCCTTCTGCTATGAAGCCCCGACAATAAGAGCTGGTGACAGCAATTAGACGCAAGTGGATGTAGTTTAATGACTTCTGAAGATTGGTTGCACTGAATCTTAGAGACTTCGTAACCAAAAGGCGGAGAATACATATGCACGCTAACAGCTTTTCAGTTTTTAATTTTATGTAATAAGTTTATTTGATCAATTTTGGTTGATTGATTACATAAGATCAAAGGTAATCACTTCATTTTAATTCTAGGCTACACAGCAATACAATATACGGAAAAACACCCAAATGGGTTCTAAAGGTCAGTAAAAACTGACACCTTGAAAACAGAACTAAAACGGTTGTTTGTGCCCTTTGATTAAGCTGGATAAGCACAGGTGTAACATTACATCTGATGACAGCAATTGCAAGAACAAGCTATACCGGCTTGTATGCACAGAACTGCACCCACAGAACTGGGGAGAAATTAAAGGCATTTAAAATAGTCAAGAGTGGATCACAATTCAGGTTTATTGATTATTTCACCAAATGTTTGGAAGATTACATCACAATAGTATGTATAGAACCGTATAGCGCTATCATTTCTATGTATCTTACATTGAAAACTTTACAGTCTTCTTTTCCATTAACTGTATGTATATATATATATATTATTTCCCTATCATTAGGGAAGAAAAGTAGACATCCATAGTTGCGAGGGGAGGAATGCTTCTCAAAAAATATTTAAATGCACTTTAAAAAAATGAGATCCCTTTTTTTTTTAAAAAGGCATGGAATAAACTAGAAAGGATCCAGAGATTGCATCTCTGTAGGTGAGAGTTTTGGTTTTCGCTCCTGAAGCGCTCTGTGGTTGAACGCGATACAACACCGACCATCTGGAGCCAGTTGATACACTGCGTTGTGGTAATACATGAGCAAACGTTGAGCAACAGATGTGGATAAGAGCGAGGGAAATAGACAACCGCTGTGTCACCGACTGACAGGTAAGGGGAGGAGTTTACGACCCAGCTGTGGATCTGAAGCAAGGAGTCGAGTCCTTCGGAGGCTCACCGGGTCAATGGAAGAGGAATGCACGGCAGAGGGAAACAGTCTTTCAACCAACCTTTCATTGTAAACCAGAGATGATCCCGAACAAATCATGAAACAAATTAAACCAAGTGAGTCAATAGAGTGAGCAAAATAAATAAGTAAAGTCTCATTGACAAATTCTAAAGCTGACAGGACGGCTGTGTCACAGAGACGGACAAAGAATCTTTGATAGTGTTGTAAGAGATGCAGATTTGTTTCACCACCAGTTGAGCCCGTTCGGTCTCCTAATAAATTGAATAATACAGACATAAGAGGGAACACAAACAATAAAGTGACAAACGTTTGATACATTAATCATCACAACATATTTTGATTAGATCACCAAAGTCACATTAAGGGACACTGATGTGTCGTCGTTTTCTAACAGGCACAGATGGCCGAGAGATTTTTTGCAACGCCGCAAATGTAAAGTCCTTTCGAATTCACCAGTATCGTTCATTTGCACTCAGCATGTACTTCTTTTGTAAGTATTTCAAACAGGGGGGAGAAAAGAAAGAAAAGTCAAAATCAAGATACAATATCAATAAATTATTTGTTTGCAGTTCTTTCTTGCCATTACAAGTGTGGATGAGTGTCGGGGGGATGAGCGACGGCGTGCCGGTCACAGTGCTGCTCATCCCCGAGAGAAAGAAGGGAGGATGGACGGCGCCTTCTCGCCAAGCTGAGTGCAGCAGAAAGGCTGAACACTCCTCAACTGAGGCCCAAGAGCTACAGACTCTGTCGGCACCCTCTCTAAATCGCTTACTGTCCAAACCAAGGAGGCCAGAGGGAAGTTCTCCACCTGGTATCTACGCCGGCCCGCCATCAACCCCCTGCAGCTCCATCCCGTCGTCCGCCACCCGCTCACTCTACGACGAAGGAGGCCGAACTGCCGTCCCCTCGGGAGCGGCGATACGGAAGACGGAGCCGATGCGCAGGAAGAAGCGCCTGAGGACGGCCCGCAGCTCGGGGATCAGGTCAAACTGCATCATTTCACACAGGTGGGGGTAGTAGCAGGAAGCATGGGGCTTGAACTGGAGAGGAGGCACAAATTAGCACCGCAATTTCAACCAAGGGGTTATACAGCATGTGCATGGAAGGAGGACATTCCATGAAAAAAAAGTCCATTTACAAAGAGATGCATTATATATATATATATTATATACACACACACACATGTGTAAAACAGGTATATTCACAAACATTATGAGAAAGTCTTTTTTTCTAACATTACAGCATGTAAAAATGTTCATGGCCCAAAGAGAAGTATGAACCTGATGAAATGAGCAGGATATCTCTCCTTTAATTAATCTTTTTGGTAATTGGAAGTAGGTCAGATATACTGTACAGGGAGGGGTCGTTCCGGGTTGTGTTGGCCCCGCTTGGAGCCCATCGAGTTCCGTGCATTGAAGTATTGTTCCGGGGATCATTTTTCCTTCACTAACGCATGTTTGTGCTGCTTTTAGGAACAACAGCTTCTTTAACAGCTTGCCCAAAATTCACAGCAGGCCTCGCACAAGAGTCTGGTGCCAACTAGTCCACTTTCAGACAATACAGTTCTCATTTTCTGTTGACGCAGTGGTAGATGTGGTATTTTCTTCCAAAGCTGGTTGCATGGGACTTACATTTCCTACGGTTTCAGGCTGCATGCTAATTCCAAACTTTCAGTTTTACTTTCCGGTAAGAAGGGCTTGAGTCATTGGCTTCTATGAATCATCGGTGACTCACACTGTGCCCATGAGTCATGCACTCTCAGCTCACAAGAGTTTCGAATCACAAAACACAACAAATCGATACGGAAATATTAAAAAGTAAAATACATTTTTGACCCCTGTCCTTGTTAACTAATGGACATTCATCAACTCCCCACAGTATGCTTTATTTGTAAGATTTTATCACAGCATCTATGATCCAGAGCTCCATGAAGTACTGAAGCATTTCTGCTCTGCATTGATCAACTACTACATTGATTTGGAAGTTTTTTCGCATAGCTAACTTAGCAGCTAGGGGCTAACAAGCTGTGCTCAGCTCGTGATTGGCCCTCCCTGCCCGGCTGCAGCTCACGCAAAATGAAAAAAAAAAAAAAAAACGTAAAGATATTGTGGCTCCACTTCAGTACAGTGTGTCGGCCTTTCATATGTATACAGTCTACATGGCGTGTGTGGGGTGTTCCTGCCTTTTCATCGGGGAGCCGTAGCGTCCTGGTGAGCAGAAGCATCAGCAGGCTGTTCCAAGCCTCCCTGTGGCTCTCTGAGGTCAGACTGATGAAGTAGGCCAGAGCTTCACTACACACCCTGAGAGAGACCACACAAAGGATTACAGCAAACACACTAAACAAGGTCTGCAACAGAGCCACTACAGTACAATCATGATTATCATTACTGTTATTATAGAAGAGCAGGCCGAGGCTTCCCGTCTGGTAAAGCACCAAAAGCAGTTTTTTAAGGGTGAACAACACACATGTGTACTTGTGATGTAACACACAAGTCAACTCAGTGGTGCAGCTGTTCAGGGGAAAACACAAGGGGATATGTACCACGCTCTGGCATACCAATAACATTGACTAAATCCACACGCACGCACGCACGCACCTTGAAATGGCTAACCCAACACAGAACGCCATTGCTACACTTCTGCAAGTGACACAGCTAGTGCTTCTTTATCTAAAGGGCATTTTCTGTCTTTTGATTGGGCAAAAAAAAAAATGATGTACATGGCGGTACATCTTTCTTTTTGGCATGGAGTCACACCAAAGGACCCAAACCGATGGCGTCTATTGTACTCACAGGAGCAGGCGTGTCTGGATGTCCGGCCACGAATCCTGCAGCTGAATGTCAGAGTACATCCTGAACAAAATCCTCAGGCTGCAGGCGAGACTACTGGTCTCCTGCTTCAGCAAGTTGGGCTTAGATTTCCCCTTAAAGCCTAAAGGCAAAAAGAGAGTGATGCACAACAGGGCTTTGCACGGCTTGGATGATATAATCTGGCTTCGGCTGAAGACCCTGCAAGAATGTCTTGCTCACAATAGACATTACTCATAAGAACTTTCTTCACAAACATTCCACTGTAAGTCCCATGCAAAGAACTTTTCCTCGCTATTTACCGGCCCTCCAGAGTGCTGTCCTCTGCTCGTTGTTGGAGTTGAAGTCCTTGGCGAATGTGTGTGACTCCAGGAGACAGTCGAGCAGCTTGAAGAGGTGTGCAGAGGTCATGTGCTTGTACATGCCTTGTTCAGAGCCCGCCTGGCTTCCCCCAGCTTCAGACTCCTCCAGAGTGTCCCGCTGATGGGAGGACAGTATCAGACAACTTTAACTATGTATATTCCAACATTTGAGATGACACAGGTCTCTCCGTTCGTTTTTTTTATTAGTGTGAGAAATATGAGCTTTTGCATTCTCTGACACAAAGGACAGTTTGACAATCCGTCCCACTAGTTGGTGTAACTTACCTGTGCAGCAGCCATGTTCTCAGCATCCTCCTTCTTACTGGTTGCTGGGTAAAACACAATGTTGTCTATGGTCTGGATGAGTTCAAGCTGTACGACGCATTTAATCAGCAGTCCTGCAAACAGCTTCTGATCTGAAACTCCTTTAGAAGAAAAAAAAGAAAAGTGGTGCAGACACTGAGAGTAAAATATGCAGCAAGGGAAGTCTGGTATGACACAGTGGATGTGTGTGTGTGTGTGTGTGCGCGCATGCTGCGTACTCACTAGCATTGGACTTGCCCTTCCAGGTGTCGTCGCTGGACATCTGGCTGTGTCCTCTCTCAGACAGAGCTCTGTCGTAGCTGCTCTGGGACTGGGTATCGACATCTGCATCCTGGAGACAAACCGCAAAAAAAATGGTGTGATCAAGCGCAGGTTAGTTTCCTCCTTGTGAGGCGGTGAGAGGGTCGCTAGGAAACATAACCGTCCTCTCGATGGCTGAAGGCAGCAGATCACGTTTCAAAGTGTGAAGCGTCTGCTGTAATTACAGGACTATTGATTCGTTGGCTTACAAAATGCTTGCCATCTACAGCTTCGTCTTCCTGTCCAGACGGTCGCCATGTCAACAAACTGAAAAGCAAACAGAATAGCAGATCAGGCATGAGCTGTTGTTACAACTTACATCACACAATCTTTACCCGTTACGTTTTGGAGCCGATTGGTTGAGGACTTACGCGTGAGGGCTGGTGTTTTGGAAGATCTCCAGCATGCAGGAGCAGGTGATGTTCCAGACCTCGGGGCTGAACTTTTCCCCGTTCAGGATCACCAGGTTCTCCAGACAGTTGGTCCCCGACCGAGCCAGCTGCTCGTTGTCTGTTAAAGAAATGTCAGTGACTTCTGAGGTTTGGACACCAGAGTCCTGCTACAGTGGCTGAATGATTGTGATGAACGGTCATGGACAGATTTTCTAACTGTGTATTTCTTCTATGTTAATAAGAGTGCATCCTCTTATATGGAAAGTTTGGATTTACTAAAGGTTGTGTTGTAACACTTATCCGTAGTCAGATTGCATACCCCAAGTTTGGAGGTGGGAGGAATCAGCTGAATGTATTTTAGAAATCTATCAAATATCTATTTAAGTGCTATATTTAAAAAAATGTAGAAAACTTAAATGACTAATTGGGAAACAAATTGAAGCAACTAACCGTTTTTTAAAGGGAAAAAAGCATTATATAATTATTTTTGTATTGCCCCTTACACTAGCTACAAACCAGCAGAGCGCCCAATCTGACCTCAGCATGGTGTGTGTTACCACTCTGCCTTTTCCGTGCCGAGGAGTCCGTCTGAATGAAGGTGAACACCCACCTTGCCTGACACACCACTGTAGCTGCGTGAAAATGTCAGCCAGCAGGATTTCACTGAGAGGCTCATAGAACTGGGTGAAGACGTCACAGATTGCGTACAGAGCGTGGTTACACGTCGTTGTCATCCACTCGGTTTTCTGGAGACAAAATAAGCAACAGTTAAAAAAAAAAGAAAGGTTTTTATTCTACATGGGATAAAAAAAGTTCTGCCCCCGCCGAATCACACAAGAGTGGCTTGTCGAGACATGAACAACTGTGGGCCGTGACGGCCTGCTACCAGTGACCTCTGACCTCTGTCTGCTGCTCGGGGAGCTTCATGTTGTCAAAGATGCGGAAGACGATTCTGAAGAGGTCGTGCCACCAATGCTTCTCGAAGGTGTGGCCGTAGCTCTTCATAATCTCGAACATGACCGTGAGACCCCTGTCGGAGGCAAAGACAAACGGTTCACACTTCACAGGACCAAAGAGGACCCAATATGCCCAATAGAGGATCAAAGGCTCATCATGGACATTTAGAGCCTGGGAGTGGCAAAAAGACACGGTCCTTTAGTGCAGTGGTCCCCAACCTTTTTTACCTTACGGAGCGTTTTCATGTCACAAATATGTCTCTGAATATGTCAGAGGACGAGCGCACATAATTAGGAGAAAACCCAATCAATTTTCAAAATAAAACATTTTCCTGAAAAAATATATATATAAGCTTTCTGTGGTGCGGCCCGGTACCAAACTGCCCGCGGGCCGGTGGTTGGGGGCCACTGCTTTAGTGGAAGTAAACTGAGGAATTACTCAAAAAGGACAACATTGCATCCTGTTCAGAGGCTGCAATTAACCACAAAAACAGCGAAAATATGGTTTAAGGAATAAATTACCAGGGATGCCCTTCGATTGATACCTTGCTACATCTACTACTCTATTTCCCCCCCATGCTGGTTTACATATTGCCAATAGGGTTATTATACCAACAATAATAAATCTGCTCCTTGATTTTCACTTAAGTCTGTATGCATAAGGCACTAAGCGGTCTTTGTTGTTGTCATGATATAAATAATATAATAATAATAAATTATTCAGTACTTTAATTTGAACACTTTTTTTGTAATAAATAATTTTATTTAGTTTCCTTTGCTTTTCATAGGTTTTGATCCTTGAAGAAACCGGGGGAAGGTAAAGTACACGCGACAAGGGGTTGAACGTTTTGCAGGGCACCTTACTGCCCAAGTTGCTTCAAATCCAAACTAGTCACCACAGTAACATGACTTAATTACCTTGTCCGGACATCCAGCTTGCAGCGGTTGATGATACAAGACAGCTCAAACAGAATGGGAAACCAGCCACGAACCCAAACCCGATCACCAGGGGCAACATTCATGTCATCGCTGGTGTATTCCCTCAGGGCCTGAACAGGGATACATGGAGTGTAATGTTACATAATAAGCTAAAAGAAATCACACACACTGGAAATTACAAATGATACAATGCCGTCATCATGTCACATTATTTCATCAGTGGAGACACAACTCGGCCGTTCCCACCTGTGGCCTCTCGGAGACGTATTTAGCACAGTGTCGGATGAGTCTGATGGCCTCCATGCTGGTGTCAGGAAAAGCTGCGTTGCAGACGAACTCTGACAGGCACTTCACTGCATCTTGGAACGAATCGATAGCAGCTGCAAAGTGCTCCCGGAAGGTGTTCACTGAGGGAAGAGTTATGAGCAGAGGGAACAAAGATATGAACAAAAGACTCATGCGATTGGTTCACGAGATATTAAAAAAAAAGGTACTTATAGTAAATCATTCATTTCCATTGCCTCAATGGATTGTAACGAGACAAGTCTCTGATTTCATCGACCGCCTATAAATCCCTGCGGACCAAAATAAATGTAAAGGGCAAATCAAATGTTATGTGCAGTACCAGTCCAAAATTTGGCAGGTACTGGACGTAATGTTAGCCAATAAACATTTGGTACCTAGTGCCATGAACTACAAGACGCTAACTGCAGCGCACATTAACGGCCTCCTGTGTGGTAATAAGGATTTTCTGACACTTCCATCTTGTCATTGATGCTCACATTCTTACAACGGTTTAAGTAGGACAATGGATCAGTCTCACGGTCAGCTGAGCAGTTTGAAACAGCACAACCACTGTCAGTTTCTTCCCCTCTATCGCCTGAGCCCAGAAGGCCGCCATGTGGAGCGCGGTGCAGTCATACTCACTGACAATGTGGCCGGTGGTCTGGAAGGCCAGCTCCACGATGGTCTCATCGTGGTCGGAGGCTGCCTGGTGAAACACTGAGAAGATGTTCTTCCAACCTGAACGGATGTTGGCCGCCTGGGAGTTGACCATCTGAGCCACGCACCTGATCACCATGTCTCTGATAGTGGGGGACCTGAGAGGAGGGCGTTGGTGTTATCTATTGTATACAAACCATTTCCCCCCACTGTACTGAATCATTTCCACTCTTATGTAGCTTGTTACAGTCGATATACAAAGACTTTGGTGGTACTACCAGTCTCTGATCTGGCCATATTATTTAATATATCACCTATTCTTCTTCATGATGTGCTCAAAAGGCCTGAGGAAGTCCTTCTGGAAGCGGAAGTTGGCCAGCTCGCCTTTCTCCAAGAACTTCATGGAGAGCTGCCTCAGTGAGTCCACGGCAAAGATGGCTACGTCCTCATTGGGGTTACAGCCCACCTAGTGGAGGACACAACATGAGCGGGGTTTTTATCTCAGCCGATCACGAGGAGTTTCCCTGTATACACACACCGCATTGTGGAGGGGTCCAAGTTATCAGACAAAAACACTCCCGCCCTAAACCATTAGTTGAAACAAGTGATAGTTGAAACAAGTGATTGAGACCATAAACTGTTATACTGAATAATACTCGAGGAGTAGAGACATTTCCTCAGACTTCTACACAATAGGAATTATTTTGCTGAGATCGCAGCATCAGCTTCACTCAAACTCCGCAGATCCTTGATCCACTGACCTTGTTGAAGTGGTCTCCTATGACCTGCCAAATTCGAGACCATTGCAGCCTGATGCGGTTCATGTTGTAGTAGGAGATTTCCACGATCTTTTGCAAGCTGAACATTCTCGCCTGGTGTACCGAGGCCAGCTCATCCATGGACACGGCGCACAGCCACCGCACAAAGTCCACTGGAAACCATTAAACAGCATCAACACCAAGAAACATCTCTCTCTTTGTGACCTACACAGAGACGTTGGACGCAACACTCACCGATAGCATTTCCATCTAGTCTGGTCGAACCAGTGAATATCCTGTAAATATAAAGCAGCATTAGCAATTGTAGGAAAACAGACCTTCATTCACCACAAACGGCCGCATATAAATCAATTTTTTGGGTTGTTGATATGTTTTTTTACCTGTCCACAGCTACCACCACACTCTGAGAGCTGGTCTCTCCTACAGACTCCTGGATGTGAGCCATCTGTCTCTTGTCCTGACTGCCCACCAGGTTACCTGCAACATCAAACATATTGAAAACAAGCTAATGTGTACAGTCACACGTTGCATCACACACACACACACACAACAAATGTCTGGGACTTTCAAAAGCACACTGAGAAAGATTGCTGTTAATTTCCTTAAGAACGTCCTTGTTTCATCACCAAACAATGGCTGCTTTGGAGTGAATCTTGGAAGGTGGCATCAGTTAAATCTGCGTCTCTCCTCACCGAGGCCCAGGGGCATGAACTCCTCTGTGCCGGTGGGTAAGCCTCTGATGCCGGCCTCCTTTTCCCGGACCACGCCAGAGATGTAGCGCGTCTTTACCCCCGTGCCAATCAACTGGGCGAGCTCCAGCTGACTGATGCACCTCAAGATCTACAACACAAAGACACCAATGACTTTTAGTGGGTTGTACGTATTATTTATTTTAAAAAGCTTTGATCTTGAAAGTAATTGTATTAATTAATTAATTTTAATTAAATCTGGAAATAGAGACTCGGGATCTCAAAAGAATGAGTTAGTATTTCATCTCAAATGAGTTTGTCATTATCTATTATTTTGGGAGCAAGTACATTTGAAAAAAAAAAAGACACAAAAGTATATAATCTCATAAAATGTCATACTCAAAACACTGGCAAGCAACAATATACATATACAGACATGTATATACATATGGAGTTTGTCATTTTGACATAAGACTCCTCTGTTTTAAGTCCTGTTGGTGCGACTCACCTCATGCCAGGAGTTGCCCAGGTAGTTCCCGTCGGTGTGGGCCACAGTGATCAAGGTCTTGATGGTGTCGATGTTCTTCTGTTTCATCTCCGTGATGCTGGAACTGGCCGTCAGTAGGGTGAATCTGGCCAGGGCTTGGACATAGGCGTCTCGCTCCAACTACAGACAGCAACGCCACTTAATACACGGCCGTACTTTCCCGCGGTTTTCAAAACCAAGAGCGCTGATCGGATGAAAGAATGAAACCCATCACTGAAAGACCAACCAGACCTGCATGTTGAAGATGCTGGCGATTCTGATGGCACATCGAATGCCCTCCAGACACAGTGAGGCCACCTCGGGGTCGTCACAGTCCTGCAGTCCCACGCTGAACGCTGCCAGCAAGGGGGTCCACGCCAGCTACGTCACACAGAAAGGATCGGCATAGCAGCGTTTTATACACACACACACATATATATGTATATTCACCTTCACAGATTGATACGTTGTCTCTCTGGATGTAATTGGCATGCTACAGCACAAACAACTGCTTCAGTCCAATCCGTAGTACCTTGAACATGGGTCGGACGTGCTGCAGGTGTGTCGCGCTGAAGAAGGGGGCCTGGGCGTGGCTGACGGCCTCCATCAGAGCTTTAGCGGTCTTGGCCATTTGCTCCATCTCCACGTTGTACAGCAGCCGCCGCTGCTTCTCGCTGGCTACACCTGGAGGAGAGGAGGACACGAGTGAGTCAAAAAAAGCCCGCACCAGAGGAAGCGTTGTCGTTTCAGCGAGTAATCCCGCCGGACAGAAGGGAGACAAGTACTCACTCTGCTTGCTGGACTTTGGGGTGATGGAGAACTCTTTGCTCTCTTTCATGGCAATCTTCTTGCCTGCGATCTCATCGTAGATGGAAGACAGATACTCCTCGGGGAGGTCCTTGCTGTCGTTGATTCCGCGATTCATCTTGATGTACTGCTCTTTAGTCATCTTGTTCTTTACCTACACGAATGGAGTACAGAGAGAGAGGAGGTTGGAGCTCAGTTCAACCGATTTGCTCCGTGCTGCACAAATGAGTGATGAAGTGATGTGGGGGGATTTTAAGTTTTTTTTACTTCTTAAGACTAGATCAGATGATCAAATATATGACAGATGAAGGTGATAACTATTACATAATGTCATATCACCATGGACTGGACCAATTCCTAACTAGCAGAAAGTTGGGAAACAGGAAAATGAAATTGTGAGGAGAGAAACCAACAGACTGTTACTGCTCCTCTTTAGTCTCGCTTTGTGTTCGTATGAAGTAGAATTCATCTTTTAATTTATTGGTACAGCTGTAAGTCAGGTTATGTCCCTGTCTGCTAAGGTCTCTCCCCCACTTTCCCCGCTGGCTAAACTCTGTATCCCGCGGCATATTTCACACCTTTTCCTAGACCTTAAACTTCAGATGCAATTTCCTCTGGCGCAGCTTCCTGTCAGCAGCGATAAATCAGCTATTTGTAGAGACGGATGAGGGCCTGCTGTCCACACACAGGACTTGCACAGAAGAAATGTTGAGCCATGAGACGCCCCAATGAGCCCAACGAACAAGCACGCCCTGCTCGACTAATGCGTTCTACCTGGCGGTTGGAGTTTCATAAAATAAACTTTCATGAGCTGTAAAATTTTGCTTTAAGAGTGTTGCTTTACAGTGTGTTGGTCTCTGATAGGTCTTCCACAGAGAGACGAGACACGGTTGCATACTGGATGATACACTGGGCCACATATGGGGATGACAAGGGACCATCCAGCGTTCTCACCTGAGGACTGTGCAGGTCCGTGGTGAGCATAATGATGGAGTACGCCAGCACGTAGGCAGTGTCCGCACTGGCAAACAGGGTCTGTCTACAGAAGGGGACACATCAGTGAAACAGTGAGTAGTTTGTTTGCTGTTCCATCAAACGCATACCTTCACGAGGAGGAACAAAAGACCCAAAAGAACTTACCCCTGGTTGCACTCCAAGTATCGAGCAGCAAACTTCTCCATCAGCCTGTCAATCTTCTGGGCCTCCCCAGGGAGCCTGAAGCCCTGCAGGAACGCTCTGAGAGCTGAGACAAAGTCACGGCCGCAAAAGTCCAACAGGTCCACGTAGCAGTACATCGATTCTATGTTGAACTTGATGTTCTCGCCCAGGAACTCTCCCACCTGGGTCTGTGGAGGCCGAGGGAAAGAGGTTGGGGGGGGATGCTTTGTTGCCTGCGATCACAGTGTAGTATAATTTCAAAGCCCTTACAGTGTCCAGACGTTCCTCCTGGTGTAAGAACTGGGCGATGTCCTCGGCTGCAGAACCCAGCATGCCCTGGTCCTGCAGGTACTGGATGCCTCGCTTTGGCTTCTTGTTGAAACTGGGGAGAGGGAGCAGAGCAAAACAATCAAACATCTTCTCAGAACAGGACCAAAAAGTATTAAGTACCGCAGGTGAAAGTATTCCACCCTGCTCCATTGATAACCAATGCTCACAGTTCGATGCCGTGCTCGATGATATCCTTCTGCTGTTTGATAACCTCGTACTGCTCGGGATGGTCCGCCTGGGACAGCGCCATGCTGGAGGAGACGGTGGAGTCCAGAGAACTAATGCTGTCCCGGCGTCCCGCCAGCAGCTCTGAGAGTTTCAGCTCTGCTCCGTCACTATCGGACGGATGCTCCTGGCCTGCAAAAGACACATGCAACACAAGTACGTTTACACTCCTTCCTCCCCTCATGTGCCTTGCTCTCACTGTGCACCACGCACTTACCGAGGTTGGCTTGGAGGTTTGGATTGACATACATGTCTTTGCTCCACTCCACCATACATTTGAGGATGGACACCAGACACTCCAAACCCTTTTTACGTAGACTCAGCTCCTGTGGATATTAAAGAATGTTTATATATTACCTTTACACATTCAAATGAATCGTAATATAAAAAATGAGTTATTAGAATACGCAACAAAAGGGACAATGAGCCCAATGTGTACCTGCAGGGAAGTCATCCCGAGCTCCTGGCCGCTCCTGCCCTGAGCGATCTTTGACAGGTCGCTGACAAGCCGCTCAAAGATGTTTGCTGCCGTCAAGTCACAGTCGTAGTTCACGTAGATGTCAACCACGCACTGGGCATCTGAGGAGGGGGAAAGAGTACATTTCTCAAAATACAGCAGAGTGTTAATGTACCGTTGGCTAACATGATCAGTAAATACTGTGAAGCGCAGTAGCAGCGCTGTGGCGGGTGTGCATGTGAGCACGTAGTCCTGAAAGTAATCCTGGGAAAAAATGAGAAGCAGCTTGAACTGGGAGAGTTAAACCCATTACATTCATGCACCTTGTTTGATAAATGTGACGGCAAAATGACACGATGATCTCTGAAACTGCTCCAGTTTAGATGCTGTCGGGTTAAGATAAAAGCTGAAGCAGCACACATTTATAGAGAGTAAACGCTCATGTTGTTCCGCATGATCTAGATCAGTGGGATTAAATTCTTACATAAGTGTGAGGTCCATAAAGCAGCAAACACTGTCAATTATCCGTGCAAATGGATGGATGCAATGGTGATCAAATACATTCTCCATCAGTAATGCACACACTGGTCTTCTGTGACAGTCCCAGTGTTTCAAAGCAGTTTAACCATTTTCTGTCACATACATTTCCCCAAAATGCTTGGTCATGTCTAAATAAAGCCACGAATACCAATGACCTAGATGTCCCCAGTGTCTGAAGGACAATATGCCAGCACTTTAACATCCTGATGTATTTCAGGTCTGACAGGGCCTAAGTTCAGCCCTGCTCGTCTAGTTTCTCAGTCATGCGTCAGTGAATTTCTACCTGCACAGATGCGTGTCAGTGTCTGGATAACCATCCACTTGTGCTCAAAGGAGCTGGTCGAAGTCTCCAGGATGGTCAGAAAAATCTCCCGGAAAAAGACCTGAGGCCAGGTGGACAGGAGAGATCAAGTGTCAGTGTGACGAGCCGCAGCGGGTACATTTCTCTCCGCGGCCTCCGGTGTGTCGGACAAACAAACTCTGTCACTGTTACTCTGCATCCGTACCTCAATCTGCATCTTCAAGTGGACCTTGAAGTGGGAGAGCAATGTGAGGAAGATAGCCAGCGAAAGCTCAAAGACCTCAGGCACAGAAGAGACGCCATTTTTGGACAGCGCCACACACAGATACTGTTTGATGGCGTTGACAAACATCTCGTGAGTGCGAAACACTGGGCCGGCGCCTTGCAACACGGAGAGCAGCAGCTGCAGGGAGACAATCTTGGAGCGCAGCTCGTGGGACCTGCAGAGGAGAGGGATTGTTGAACTGTAGATATGAAGGAAATAAACAAAGACACTGAGAAAGGCACAGCCATGTATATAGCAACATGCTCAGTTTATTTAGCATCGAGGGAAACACAAGATAATCAGGTATAACGGTGGTCCATCGTGATATTTACTTAATGTAAGTCAACTGACTTCTTTGTCAGCCTGTGTCTTCTGGGCTCAGCTTACTCTGGCCTAATAACACTGACGGGATAAAGTTACAGTAAGTAGAGACGACTGGATGGAAAAGGGCAAGTTAACCTGTCGAGGCAGAGATGAAGCCCTGTGCACAAGCCGGAGGCATTTATCGGTTTTTGCAAAACTGTCGGCGTATAAAAAGACCAAAGGTGTTCCGAGTACAGGCATTGTGATTAATATGCATGTTCCCACTAACAAGTGACAATAGTCCACATCAGGGTGTTATGAGAAACTTTGAAAAATGTGTATCCATGAAAAAAGAAATGTGCTGAAATTTTTGCCGTAAGTAATTCAGACAGTTTGACACCGCTAGTTTGCATTAAAACGAGGCACTCACTTTGGGTCCGGAGGTCCTTCGGCCAAAGGCTTCATGGAAAGTTTGCACAGAGAGCGGAACACCAGGAAGGCATCTTTCTGCAGGATGTGGGAGAATCGGGCGGCACCGTGGGGTCCCTGCAGGGCCTCGGCATCCTGAGACGGAGGGAGACAGTCTTTGCTTTCTTGTTATACAAACAACATGAAATAAGCGCTTGAATTTGTCTGCCCAATAGTAGCACGGATTTAACTATTTTCCTCGTTCATTGGATTGGTACAAAATAACTTTTCTTGTTGGGTGTTATGGTGTCACAGTGGCTGGCTAGTTTGATTGGCGGAGTGAGACAGTGACTGTTAGACCCTGTGCTGCCGTGTCCGTTTGCCAAGCTGGCTGGCTGTCTGCTAGTTAGCAAACTATAGAGTTCCACCATGCTTCAATGCTAGAAAGTGAGCTAATGTGGCAGTGTGCTCTCCTACATTGTGAAGAGTGTCTGGATGAAACACTAAGCTTCATTTTATGCTTAAACCACAACAATAATGCTGCCACCAGCACTTTAATACTAATTTCTTTCTTTCTGGCATGACCAATTGCCAGTCAAAATGCTCTTCAGCCGATGCGTTCACTTGTTTATGCACGTACTGCTGGAGCATCGGCCTGATATCTTTTGTGCTCCTTTGTATGCTCCAGGACTTCTAGTTGTTAACATTGCTCACCATCAAATCCGTGGAGGAAACAGAAGAGCGGTCCTCAAGGATGCCGTTCATCTGCTGACCCTCCGTTCCGACTGTGGAGGGAGTCGCTTCTGTCTTCTCGAGAGGGGGGGGTGGGTGCTCACCTCCTACGAGGAGAACCAACAACTGATTTTTAATTTTACGGTCCTGACCATGAAAGAAAAACATTCGCCGGTATGTATTTACCAGAACCAAAAGAGAGCGAAGACAAACGAGCGACTAGCTAATAGATAAAAGCGTAGACGGGGAGCTCGGACCTGTCACACTGTTGGTCTCTGTCGGCGGTTGCTTCTCCTCCACCTCGTCGGACGTCGCTGACTCTGGTGGATTGGGGCTGCTCTCTGATTTGTCCCCCTCCTCACCTGGCTCAGCTCCTGTAGGAGATGTCTCCACACCTTCCTCTCCAAAAACGGAATCTAATGTCATTAATTAACAGACGCCGTTATGTCAAAGCTTCACAATCGGCAGATGTATCTTCAGGTTTGGAGGTAAAAAACAAGACTACGGAACTGAACCCCAGACTGAAAGTTGACACGTACCCGTCGATGGCGTGATCTGTTCCGCTCCTCCATTCAATGGAGCGTTGCCGCCCTCAGGTTCTCCATTGGTTGATGGCGTGTCTGGCGCCGGGTCCTGCTCCAGGTCAGGGCCCGGAGGCGTGGGGCTGGTGGCAGCGAGGTCCTGAGAACTGGCTGCCGGGGAAGGCGAGCCCTGGGGCTCCGGGGTCGGCGTCCGGTCAGACCGGGGGGAGCCAGACCTCTGATTACCGGGCACCGGGGACGGGTTCTGCTGGGGCAGACGCAGCCGGTCCTTCTCCAGCTCCTGAGCCTCCAGAGCCTGTGGGAGGGCGGCGCAAGGAGAAGAGGAGCCATGTCGACAAGTTGTTTCATAAAAGAAAAAGGTTTGTGGACATTTGGAAAAGTTTGTTGCAAATTAAATTTGAATCACACATATTATTCTCAAGGTCCAACCGCTGTATTTAAATCAGCTTGTGATTCCACATTATTTAAAATGACTTAAAATGACAATCTCTACAATTGGTTGGGTGGACACGGAGCGTTCGCATGAGATGCACTGACGGCCTGGTTCTCCATGCGGGTGAAGATCACGTTGAGCATCTGTGTGAGAGTGGCCTTGGCCGTGGTCTGGTTGATGAGGTTACGGCTGGCCAGGTAGATGTTGTAGCAGGTCCTGACGGTGAGGAGCACCGTGCCCTCGTGAATCTCTATGTGGGGGGAGGTCACCGCCGTCAGCAGGGCCTGAGAGAGAGAGAAGGACGTCAGGGCAGGATGTCTCGTTTCAAAGATGCCGCCGCCGTAACTGCCGAGTCACCACTTGACTTCCCTATGTAGCACGCGGAACTGGGCTACTGCATGTCTGGTGCAGAGCTCAACTTTTCATTTTGATGTTGCACAAAGGATGATGTGTGTGGAGTTTGCATTAGTTGGTCCAAACACAGCAATGACATTGAGATCTCATTCAGTGGTCACTGGAGGACAAACATGGGGATTATCTGCTATAAATCTTTTGTCAACAGTGATAACAGCGTTATTGCGTCTCGCAGCAGACGAGACCTTGCCCTTTCCAAACAGCCAGAATGTGAATTTCATTTAGAAAGAGGAAACTTCAACAGGCAGCAGCTAAGAATCGTACCTAACGCGTCAACACAGAGCAGGTTGTGGAGCCCAGAAATGTGAATAAATGTGATTAACATATTACATAGTCAAGGCTCCAATAACAAATTATTTGGTAACATTTCAGTGTTCTAATAGGATTAAAGTATTACACGTTGAGATTGAGCAAAACGTGACACAGATAGGCATTGCATGCACATATTCTTTAGATTTAAATATCCAGTACTATTTTTGTATAATTTCCCCAAAAAGCCTTAATAAAAAAAATGTAGCTCAGAATCAATTTTCTCGACTACTGTGAAGCATGACAGGACCAACTTATTCATGGAGGACCTAAGAGTCTCGCTCCCCCCCGGCTGTGTGACAACAACCTTGACAGCTGGAGGATCTTCATGCAGCCAGATGTTCGGCGAGGCGCTCGACATACCTTGATGATCTGCAGCTGCACTCCCTCGTCGGTCTGCGGGCCCTGGAAGCAGTTACAGACGGTCTCCATCAGCCGGTCGATCAGCCTCTTGCCCGGTGTTCTGCTGTCCGGGGCATTGCCCGTGATGTGGCCGTACGCGATCAGCTTCTACCGGGGCAGAGCAGCAGGGTGAGTGAGGAACGCTCAGGGTACATTTGGGTCTTGTAGCATTCAAGCAGTGAGTGAGTTTAGGGTTTACTTCAGAGCTTGTGCTGCTTAAACATGAGTATGTGACAACATTTTGGATCCTGCATTTCCCATAATGTAGCTAATGGTATATTAACATGAATAATGAGAAATATTTTAAAAGCATCTTTCTATTCTAGATTAAAACAAGATTTTGTTTAATTAACTATTGTTATAAATCATTTTAGGAATTACAACTGCAAAAATTTAACAAAAAGCAGGTATGTACATGTAATATAAACGTGTGCGTGTGTGTGTTCCTTTAAGAATGAATTTTAATTTGAACAGTAGCACACTGAATGTAGACTAGTAAGTGGATTATAACCAATGCAACCCCACAAGTGCTACTACGAAAGGCTGAGATGAGATTAGAAGATGGCTTGTGTGTGTGGAATGTTGACCCATTGTTCCAGGTTAACATCAGGAGTGTCAAACAGGTGAAACAAGATCCCCACCCCACGAACACGTAAAGTACTCCTGTGCACAAGTCTGTGTGTGTGTGTGTGTGTGTGCGTGTGTGTGTGCGAGTGCTAACCTGCAGACAGTCCAAAGACGTGCTAACTATCCGGGGGGACTTTGACTGACAGGCCAACTCAAAGGGCAGCACATATTTGTCCGCCTCAATGTAGTTGGCTCTCGGGGGGACCACTGTGCCATCCCTGCAGGGAACGAGGGGAGCAAACACACTCGTCAACTAAACGCACGCGGCCACTTCGAGATTCCAAATGGCAACTCCAATAGTAGCATTTTACAGAGCTTCACACCTTAGAAGAGCCCAACGTTGAAGACCCTTTTCCAATAGCACCCATACATACATATCACCTGAAGGCTGTTTGATCTGCTACAAAGTAGCAGTTACAAAAGCAGCCAATCACCGTAGTTGTACCTCAGTGAGCAGCTGGAGTCTACGGCCTCAGGGCAAACCTTACCTTTCTCTTCTTGCGTCACAAGAAGAAGGAAAAAAAACAGCCATGCGTTCATTCACTCATTGAAAACTGTGGGTGCTTAATAATACTTACTTTTGTTTTTCGAGCTCTGCCTTGATTTCATCTACGGGGGGAGACACAGGAGATTAAATGTTACTGGAGTCTGAACGTTGACCATTTCAGTGGACATTGGTGTGACATCATTTGACCGTGGATCTGTGGGTTCTGGGCCATTTATCGGACTGGAGAAGTACATGTTTGTTTATTGAGCACGAGTTTATCTGATATGGCCTCCATGTTTCATTTATAAATCGCATTTGGTTAAACTGTCTTCTTGCACTTATTTTCTGCATCGCCGCTTTAATCTGCTCTGCCTTTCCTCCCCAAATCAATCTACATTTCGTTGTGCTTTTTTAAAAATCCATTGCATTGATCCGCCCATAGCTGTACACGCACTGCTCAGGTACTCAAACAGCAGGCAATGGTGCGCGTCCAGCCAGATTGTGACCAACCAAATCCTTTTCTTTGCCTCACCAACCACGCTGTGGCGGACGCTTGTGATCTCGAGCGGAAATTAGCTTGGGCAATACCGACCCCGCGTCAGTTATAGTGGTGAATGTATGACTAGTCATAAAAATATGTCCGCTCAGTTCCCCTCTCAGTGACTTAATGCTTGACCTAAATGAAGGAAGGCGTTGAAAATGCCTAAGCTCTTTTTACATTAGTTCTCCTGGCTAAGCTCTAGTGCTTCACTTAAACTTTAAGAAATGATCTCTCTTCACACAGTGATTCATTTTTGTAATCAAGTGGGAAACGGATGCAAACGTCTGCAATCTGCAGCGGGAAAACTTTTAACTTAACAGAAGAGCTTTGGGTGGGGATGGGAACTTCATGTGTGTGACCATTTGACACACACACACAAATCAGCTGACAGCCAGTGTGAGTGTTGTGTTCTCCTGGCGTCATGAATAATAAGAGAGTCACAGAGAAGCTCTAACACACCTGTTAGCCCACCTCTCATGTGGCCTTGCACTAAACTACAGCTTCGTAACGAAGCACTACTTCCCGTTTCACCGATGGAACAGTGTCAGTAGTACTTGATTATGTACTGAGTGTCACTCGCTTATAACCCCTCTACATATTGTTCAATTGTCGCAAAACATGACAGGTGACGGAGCGTGATGGTTGTGTGTGTGTGTGTGTAACAGTATCCGCGGTTGTGTTAGATGGAAAAAGCACGGGCGTCACAGTATCCTGGAGTTGGGTAGCATCCTGTGTGTGTGTGTGTGTGTGTGTGTGTGCGCAGCACCGGGCTGTCCGGCTAGCTGACAGGGCTACGTACAACACGGGGATTGGTCTGTTGGGCTAAGCTAGCCTAGCCGCTAACAAGCTAAAGTGCCCCATCTCTTAGCGCGTTTGCCTGCCGACGTTGGCAGCGGTGGCGTGGGGGCATGACGCAAGCACCGTAGAATTAGCAACACAATGCGGGAGCGACGCCCCGCACACATAACGCTGCATTGAAAGCGGCAGCGGGCAGCCACGGAGACGACGGCCGTTCACATGCTAACGCTAGCGCTAGCTAAAACAAGACGTTAGCTCTCGCTCGCCTCTCAAACTGAGGAGACGTTTCAGTGAAGCCAGACTCTCAACGCGGGGCTCGCTGGAGAAACAGCACTCACCCAGCGCCACCTGACAGGCTTTTCGCAGCTGGCTGTTCTGGCTCCTCTTCACCTCCTTGTCCGAGAGGATTTTCTCCAGCGCCCTGGACAGAAACATGCTCTTGGTTTTACTGCTCTCAGCCTTGGAGTGCTGCTGTGGTGGCCGCTGCTGTGGTCGCTGCTGCATCTCTCGGTGTCGTTACCGCTCCTCTCTCAGGCCGTCATCCTCGGCCTGGCCCCGGCGAGCAAGCAGGTGACGAGGGAAAGCTAACGAGAGCCACACTAGCGGTGTCAGTCGAGTCGCTACCTCAACTCAGCGCCGCCATGCTGGTGACACGTCACGTCACGTGACTCCCAGCTGTCTGGGTTTTGACAACAGCACCCCGAGGAGTCGGCGACCTCCCCCGACGGGGCAAATTGTTGGCATAGTTACCGCACGGGACCTTCCGCATCCCATAAAGCCGCCGTTGTGAAATATATCCGGTTACATTATTCGTAGAGGAGTTCTAAACATTACGCGAGGGGAGCCACAGTTTTCAGTTTTTTTTTTTTACCGCTGTAGCGAATCAAGCGCTCCCAAATAGATTAAACCCCTTTACCGAAATGGCAGCAGATGGCAGTAAAACATTACAACTCAGTTAATATACTTCACCCCATGTTCCAACGAGGAATACGTGCATCAATGTAACTGTAAGATCTATATGTTTGATGTTAGTATTTTGTTCTCATTCATAAATTGCATTTAATTATTCTATGTGTTTGCTTATGTAGATAGCTGATCATTTAGCCTGAGTATGTTGTGTGGTATGGAATACTTCAAATTCTTTTTGTTGGTCAATTTATTTGTGAATTGAGTAACACTTTGGGAACCTGTTTATATATCCATCCATCCATCCATCCATTGTCAAACCGCTTATCCTGCACACAGGGTCGCGGGGGGGCTGGAGTCCATCCCAGCCAACTTCGGGCGATAGACAGGGTACATCCTGGATTGGTCGCCAGCCAATCGCAGGGCAACACAGAGACACACAACCATTCACACTCACATTCACACATCTACGGGCAATTTAGAGTCACCAATTAACCTGATCCCCAGAGCATGTCTTTGGACTGTGGGAGGAAGCCGGAGAACCCGGAGAGAACCCACGCAGACACGGGGAGAACATGCAGACTCCACACAGAAAGGCCACTGGGTGGAATCGAACCCAGGACCTTCTTGCTGTGAGGCAACGGTGCTAACCACCACGCCACCGTGCCGCCCTGCCTGTTTATATATACACAAACAAAATCTGAAAACTAAGTGTAAAACTGAAATGAATGAAACTAAAAGGAACAACTACAAATTGTAAGTGTCATCGGGTTGGGCCTGTTTTTTGCTTTACCAGAATAAGAGAGGCAGACATTGTATTTCTTTGTTCTTTTATATGCTTGCTTGTTCACGTTTGCGGAATTAATGATAAATACAGAATCCCCCAGTAGCAATTAACTCTTTTCCCCCGTGGCCCTTTGATTTTTGTTTAGTTTTGAGTCTTTGGACAAATTGCTGCTACAATAAGCTTTTAATTCACAGCTGACAGCAGGCAGACCAGAAACCATTAATATTGCTACACATTAGTTTATTTCATCCAGCTCCTACAATCAGCAATTACAGGTGTACATCTATTTATTCATAATTCTCCAGTTGATTTTTAAAAACATTTCATTAAAGGTGATAAAAATGTACATCGTATATATCGTCGATATGAAAATACTGACAATCCTCTTTACAAATCTATACCATTGGATTTATCTGGCGAACAAAAATCATTGCTCGGTCACTTTAAAAATTAAAAATAAATCGTACTCCGAGCAAAGCAAGTAGCCTGTTTTGAGGTTGTGCTAATACAATGGTTCCTCTCCCACAAAATAATATTGATAATTCACAGTATGGGAGAACAAAAACAAAATAGTAGTGTCACATTTTGCACAGACTCTCCGTTGCTTCATCCAGAATAGTAGAATCACCTACTAAAATAGTCTCCTATTGGGAAATAACATCTACGAGAGATTAACAACCAAAACAATTACAGAAAAACATAGCAGTTATAAAAATAAAAGTCATAAAATGTGTTCAAAAGGAAGAAAATATGCAGATGCATGATTAGAGAATAAATAACAATGCCGGTGTGGTTACAATCCCAGTGTCTATGTGGTAAAGTCAGAAATTAGGAAAATAAATTAACATTGATTTCTAAGTCTTCCATTCAGTACCATTCACAACCATTTCATGTCGGAAGTCAAAAGTCCCGGCAGTGCTCTTGTGTACCGTGAAAGACAAGACCGTACACATGCAGCTTGAAATACAATAGTGGGTGCACATAGTTTACACTCATCGATATTCACCGTCAGATAAGATCATTGGGTATTCAAGCAATAAATCAGAACTACCAAAGGATGGACATTAGTGTGATGGTGGTACGTGTGGACGTGTCTCATTACAAGTGCACAGGGGGTCACATGAAGCCAATAAACATTACTCTGGGGGGGGGGGGGGGGGTGTGTGTGTGTGTGCCCACCACGTTTCAGCCAGGGAGATAAAAGCCACGCTAGTCAGGAGCATCTTTTTTAAACACAGCGCAAATGCTGAAACGTGCCTGCTCTCACTTCAGGGGAGCAGTTGGCAGCACCACGCGAGGTTAATGGATATATACATCTCTATAGATATAGATATACATTTCCAATAAATGTTATGGATCCGCTTTAAGAACTAAAACCGTGCGAGAATTGCCTCTTCCTGTAGAGAATGTTTCATTGGATCAGAAGCATATCTGAGCGTCTTCATGGGCAAATTAATTAAAAGTGCAAGAATCCCACATTAAAAGCGGCACCTGGGAAGAAGTTGCGGGTCAAATTTGGACCTAATCCCTTAGTCGAGGCTTCTGAGAGGATGTTTTGTTACAAAGTTGTTACGGAAAGCTTTGGATAGCAAACAGATGAAGGCGAGGCGCCCCGCCCTGCCTCGCCTTCATCAAACCCGGTGGTGAATGAGTTTTTGTTTAAAATAGGACTCAATCTGACCAGAGCTTATTATAAATTCTGGGCTGTTTCCGTGTTGTCAGTGACTGCATCACCAACTCATTTCTGTGGTTGTGTTTGCAAACAACATCACAATGCGGCTATTGATCCGCCGTTTAGGCCCAAAGTCAATATTTAGAAGTATCAGGGTTACATTCTCCCCTCGCGGGTCATTGATTGAACTCAGTGATGAAGCCAAAGAAGGAAGCGGTGCGGAAATACTGCCGACAACAGTTTTTCATGTGCAAATGTCTTGTGAACCATCCACCTGGCGAGAGAGAGATGAACGTACCGATGAGGTGTGTCGCGTCGCGTTCCAGAGAGGAAGAAGAATATTAAAAAGTACGTGCAGCAGGGGAAATAGCCCTTGTCGCAGAGGAGTAGAGGGAAGGCAATGTGAAGGAAAAGCAGGAGGGAGATTCAGTACGAGACGTCCCGTTTCCGGTCGGGGGACTTCCTGCTGGTCAGATCGAAACTGGTCATACGGTCACTTGTATGGTGTAAAAGAATAAGAGGAAACAGAAATATGTCATACTATTTTTGTTCAATATAAAACAGGCATGAGTGATTATGAAAAGAGTAGTTGCCCCCCAAGGAAAGATCGCAAATATACAACCTTTCATTGTCAGTTATTGACGCAGTGAGTAAAAAAAGGGGGGGGGGCAGTTAAAAGCATCTGAGCCAAAACGAACAAGAGTTTTTCTTTCTAGGTGCTTTTTCCTCACATAGAAACCAGGACATTACTGTACTGGTCACTGGGGGAGGAGGTCACAGTTGGGTGACAAAGCAAAACTAAATGGAGAAAAAGGGGAAGAAACAGCCACAGATTGTCAACAAAAGCACTACTTCAGTGTGTGTTGTTATGAGGTGGGGATGACTTGTTAAAGCTTCATCTATTCAAGGGACTGACAACAAGGATGTGGCGTCTCCTCTCTGCCCTCCTGTGGAAGCTCAGCGTAACAAAATCTTCCAGGTGCAAAACAAGTGCTTACAGTGGTTCAGAAAAGAGCATGAGGCGGCATCCAATTACACTTCTGCTACACTCTTTTTGTCCGACATTTCTGTGCCTGCAGGCCTGGGGCGGGGTGTGTGGGTGTGTGGGGGGGGCATCGCTATGGCACACATGGGCGGTTATTGGCATGTAGACGAGCGTCCATCGCGTGATCTAAGGAAGAACTCGCACGTCTGCCGTCAGTGACAAGAGATCCAAAGAGCACACGCTCTGCTGCTCTGCTACAGTCGTATTCATGATGGTGCAGGATGCTCCCGAGCTGGTTACCATGACTCCCGTGTGTGTGTGTGTGCGTGTGGATAACGTTTGCCTCTCTGGTTTCCAGTGTTTAGTCGCGTGCGTCCGGCCCCTCTTACAGAGTGATGACCGTCCCGTCCTCCTCCAGACTGCGCATCTCAGCCGCTCTGTCTGGGGACGGTGTGGTGGAGTTGGCGTTGCTCGGCGGCCCGCTGCTGCCGCTGGCCAGCGCGGCGCCGTTGACGGAGAGGGCGGAGGGGGTGCGGAGGTTGAGGTGGGGCTCGTAGCGGGGCAGCGAGGGCATCCCGTAGTCGGCCGGGTCGCGCCCCGCGGACTCGGCCTCGCCGCCCACCTCGATCACCAGGTCCTCGTCGTCCTCCTCCTCGCTCTCCAGCTCCCCGACGGGGAAGTTCTGGATGATGTGCGACGGCGCGGGAGCCGCGGCACCGACCCCGCCGTGCGACGAGTAGCCGTAGTAGCTGGCGCCGCTGTCCGACGACCGCCCTGAGCTACCGGACGCCGTGCCGCCTCCGCCTCCTCCTCCACCGCCGCGAACTACATTGTTCCGCTGGTTGGCGGGCTTGACGGTGATGATGAGGTTGTGGCTGTTGGCGATCATCATGTCCGTCACCTGGTCCAGAGATTTCCCAACCACCTCGATGCCGTTCACCTCCAGAACCTCGTCGTTGACCGCCAGCAGGCCGGTGCTCTCCG